ATAATTTCAATCAGATTATTTATTTCATGATGTAGTTCAATTCTGAGTTCAACGAACTAATCCCAATTTTAAAATAAAATTCAAACATACTACTTAGAAATCGAATCTTGTTCTTGCACTGTCACTTCAGTATGTATATTTAAACTCGTTATTTCTAGCTACAGAAGCATCAAAGAATTAATTACCAAATGGCAGCTCAAAAACTACGAAAGTCTTCAAAATTATTTTCAATGCTATTAAATTACGCGTAAATAATAGAAACGATAAGGCTGTTAATACGTGAATTGATTAAGCAGATGCTTCAGATTCATTTCATGCATTACTGATTGCTGTGACTAATGGTAAGTGACTTGTGAGTAGGAATTTTCCTGATATTTGCAGGAACATTGGATCAGATGCGGCTTTATCGTAAACCATAGGTTCCTTTCGCCCCTATATTTAATACGTCAAACCTGTAATGCACATTTTACTATCATGTACGATACTTAAATCTGCTATAATGTTGCATCCTAAAGACGGTATGTTTCTTCTTGCGCACAGTCGTACTAAACAACACCACAAAAATGATTCTATTAAACATAACGCAATATGATGGCCTTTTGGGTGACAGACAAACATAGATATTTGGATTTGTTTTTCATGGACATTCTCTGTGTTCATGGAGATGGTAGGTTTTGATTGTCATGAAGGTCGTCTGAAACAGGTAGTTTATTTGGAGCCAAGCAATGGATCTTTCGTTCGAACGAATCTTTGGTATCTCAGATCGCAATATTGGGTTACGCCCAATCAAACCGTTTCTGTAATGATTTACCAAGGTTAAATTCTGCAGCTAAAAGGGAGAAGCAATTACTTCAAACTATTTATGGCACACGTTTCTCCTTGAAGCTAAAAATAACACTGTTCTTGTCTTGGTTCAACAGTTTCGGGGACAGCAAATGCCAATCGTAGACACCTTTTATTTAAATGGCCTCACTTTTGGCCACATCAAGCAGAGTTCTATTAACACAGAACAAGCAGAATGTCCGGCGTCCACTGCCCTGCATCTCAGACGCTAATAACTTAAGATATGCTACTACGATCGACCATTGTCTTGCTTCTACGATCACAGAATCAAGCCAAAAAGAGTATAGCAATGTTCGTTGCCCTGACGTAAGACGCATTTCTGCAGTCGCTACAATTGATGTTTGACATTATTATAGAATTGTTAAACTCAGTTTAATAAAAGACAACGTTTTCGTACGTCTTAAACTTTTCTGCACAGTGACCCTTAAGGCAATAATATTTGCTGTTTAAAACGTCACGCATATATAATATAAAGTAGTTATATACAACTCCGCGGTTGCCGGTCCCAAGCCTGTATGACACTAGGAAAATTGGGAACCGTGGTGAGGACTCCGCTGAGCCAGTTAGTCTTCATGCCAATGTTGCTTTCGAACGCAATGTCGATTTAGTCATTGTTCGCGTTACCAAGCGCAGTACATGGTGTTGGAGAACTGAGGAAGAAGGCGAAAAGTCGGCGATCAGAACCTGTTCCATCCATTCTAGCAGATGGGGGACGTGTTAGCAGGATGACTACTAAAAATGTACACTAAGATGGTAAAAATAGCCGCCAGCAGCATGATCGCTGCACGTTTCGAGCTAAGAAGGCAGATAGAGTGATGCAATCATAACATGTCAGACAAGGTTAAGCGAGAACGACATCAACAGGAAGAGTTCAAAACCAGCAATTGGAACATTACTTCACTCAGATGGAAATGGTAGCAGTTAACTGGTGAGACCACAAGGTGCCGATTGGACATAGTTGAACTCTCCTCAGCGACACGCCAGGGCTATGGAATTCTGAATTTTTGCGACTAGAGGCAATTATAACCAAATGTCGACTCTGCGACCCTCCTTCAAACCAGTGTTGGCGTTTTGGAAGAACTGATCCTGACTGAAAAAACTTTTGGAAATCGGCCAATGGAAGGGGAGAGTTATGTCATTGAGTTTCAACAAACGAAAAATCGAAACTGTTACTTGTATGTGTAAGCAATTCGGAGAGAAAATATGAATAATTCATGATGGAAGTAAAAGAGCTGAACTGTTCTGTACAAGGTGCCAACTACGGAATCCGCCATTCCGATGAACGATTTCAGTACGTATGCCAGAACCAATTTTCAAAAGTAGGAAAGTGTGATTGGAAAGAACGGCTCTAACGATCTTAACAATAACGGTAAGAAACTGTTACACTTTGTACAAACAACGGTTTGTTACTTATCGACATTAGCATCGAAACGTGTATCAGCATACGTGCTAAATGGAATCCTGTGCACATAAGTCAATGATCGATTTGATAACTCTATCGTTTGACTTGCAACGCGCTGTAATGGATGTTCGCAGTAAAGGAGACGAAGAGCTTTCACCCGATCATCATCTTGCTGTTGGCACCATTCAATTTAAACCATGGAGTGTCATGCGTAGATTTTACGGTAGAATCAACCGAGTAGTCAAATTGGAAAGCTGATCTGCGGATACAGAGAACAACACTGCACAACGATTTGAACATATCCCAGTGATGAATGCTGACATGGAAATCCAAAGGTAGCTCGCTAAAAACGGATTACTCAGGAATGACGCCAAACACTGGAGTCTAAAGCGGCCTGCAAACAAATCTGCTGGTGGAAAACATATTTAACTGACTGTCAGCTAGAAGAAACTGAATGCAAAAGGTAAGCGGTAAGCAAGGAATTTTCATCTCCAATGCGTAGGAAAAAGCGCAGCACGGAAAGCAGCAACTAGAAAGAGAACAAATTCTCGGACAAAGTTAGGTGAACTGCTTGGATTAAATTTCTATTAATTATTCTGACGGAGAATCCGCCGCCTCCAAGGAGAAAAGAATGGCAGCCTGAGAGTTCCATAGAACGAATTCACAGCAGCTTTCTATGAAGGAAGAGGATATAATTAGGAGATAAAGAAAGTACTGTGTGGGGAACTCCTTAACCTAGAGCGATCAAGGTAGACTGCCTGAAGAGCAACAGGCTTAGAGTTTGAGTAGATGAAATCGCAGAAGTTGCATAGCACTCGAAAAATGGCGGGGCTGCTGAAATCAATGCAACCCGCCCTGAGATGCAGACTACTTTCAGCAAGCATGGCATATTGCGGTAATACGTGTCTATCCAACTGCAGTGT